AGTTGGTCTTCTTGGCAACCAGCCCCAGGCCCCCATGCTGGGGGAGATCCAAAAGTCACCTTCATTAATAACAAGATATCCATTTAACCTTTATGGCTCTGAAGTGTTTTCAGGAACTGTGGGTGAAGACCAAATATATCTCAGAAATATATTTTAGTTATCTGAATGACCAAATATATATTATATATATATTATTATTATATTGAAGTTGAAGATACATACCCAGTGGAGTTGCTCAGTCACAGAGCATACATATATTTTGTTTTGGTAGATAATGCCAAATGTTTTTCCTGAGTGTTTGTACCAATTAACACGCCAGTTTCTAGACTTTGAAAGTAGTTTTCCTCTGCAGTCTTTTTTCTGAGTTGGTGATGCTCATTAATGTGGGATGTGGAGATGTTTGCTTGTCGCTCTCAAATTATGTGTGTACATACATTCTTATTTCACATTCAGTATGGAGTCAGAGGTGGATATTTGCCTTGCCATATGTTTTGGGGGCTTAACAGTGAAAAACTGTCCCCAGGAATTAAAAGGAAGCTATTAGATTAAAAAGTATACTATCACAGTAAAGTTCATCTATTGATGTCTGATTTTATAATTTAGGAGGGGACAAGAATATCACCTGTCTCAGAGTGGTATTTAATTCATACCCAAAGTGAAACCAGAAGGATGAATTGACTCAGGGACAATCTCCTGAGATTCTGCCTCTGGCATTATTCATTTGCAAGAGGCTGAATTGCATTTTATGGCTGCTATTTGCTTTCATTTATCCTTTATTCCTTTGAGAGGAAACAGTGACTAACTGTATTAAAGACTGCTTAGAATATTCAGCACTGAGCATTTTAATTCTATCATGTGCCAGCATATGATTGGAAAGGAATGGAAACTTGGAGCTTCAGTTTTTTGTTCTCATAATGGTTAATTCAAGTATTCTATCTGTGAGGGCTGGAAGGCACTATAACTAATAATAATGTTCTCAATATTTCAAAAAAATATGGTCACAATATGGAATACTCAAAATCAGTCTAGAAAAGCCTGTTAGGCTTGATTTTCAAATAGAGTTTTTTAACTTTTGGACAAAGCTACACTAGTCCTCTTATTCATTCACCCAGATATTCAACAACTACTTACTGGTGCTATGTACTTGGCCCTGTTGTAGATACTAGGCATACAGCAAGGAACAAAGCAAAAGCCTTGCTCTGTTGGAACTGACCTTCTCAAGCATAAGAGGTAAGAACACTATACATACATATATGGTATTTGGTGCTCTAGAGAATAAAAAAAAGGGTAAGATGTATGGGAGTGAGTGTAGGCTTGTTGTTGCTGTTGCTTTTTATAAGGAAAGAGCAGGGAAAGCCTCTTAGTCAATGACATCTGTGCAGAGACCTGAAGGGCTAGGTCAGTGCAGACATCCAGTAGAAGAAGAGTAAGCTAACTGAGGGGGGAGTATGCTGATGGGTTGCAGGACAGTAAGAAGACCTCTAAATTAACTTTATAATATCCATAACATATTGGAGGGCAGGCAGTGAGCATGAGAATAGTTGGAGGTGGGGTCAGAGCAACAGCAAGCACCCAGATCAGATAGGGCACTATAGAACATTATAATGACCTCAGTTTTTTCTCTACTGGGAATCTACTGGAGGGTTTTAAACAAAGAAGTGACTCCTAAATCTTTTTTTAAGGACTATATTGAACACTGGGTGAAAAATTAACTGTTGAGACAAAGAACTAGTGAAGATCTCTAATAGGTGTGCTCAGGCAAGAACCAAATGACATAGATGTTTGATTTTGTAGACCTATCACTATGTCTGTGTTTTATTAGTAAAGATAATAATTGTGTTTATCCAGACACAGATGAACAATTCTGGCATGGTAGGCACATTTGAGCCACCTAAAATACACTTTATTATGAGTAGTAATAAAGTAGTAGTAATTTATGTAAATCAGCAATGTGCTATGGATATTATAAACTTAATTCTGTAGTTGAAGACTTTTTCTGTTTAATACTAATTTTCTTCTGGAAGCTCTTCTTCCTCTCTTCCCTGTTTTTATTTGATAATCTGGTACCATTTTTTCAGCTGCTCATGTTAAACTTCAGTCATCTGTGACTCCTCTCTTCATCCTCTGTACATCTGCCAGTCAGGTTCTGTTGTTACTTTGCTATCTCTCAAATCCATGTCTTTTTCCTTCCTGTCATTCCCAAGTTTAGTTTAGACTTCCCTTTCAGAGTTAACCATCAGATTCTCCTTCTCTAATGCATGGGAAATGCAGCATAAAGAATATAGGTTTTGAGAAACCTTGATTCAGATTGGTTGAAGTCTTTGTTCTTCCACATAGCTATATAAGGCCCTTTGAACCTCAATTGTCACTGTGTAAAATGAGCCTAACAGTATTTAGTTTATAGGATTGCAGTGACAATTAAATGGGACAATGGAGTTTTTAAAGTGCCTGGCAGGTAGTAACAATTCAGAAAATGTTAGTTTTTTTCCACTTCCTATTTTTCCACCTCACTCCATCCCTGATCTGCCTGGCTGATCCTAAAGTACAGCTGTTATTGTGTCATTCCTCTTGTCAAAAACCTTCAATGGATCTCTGGTGCCTCACATGTTAAATACAAGTACTTCTGCCTAGCATTTACAGCTCCAATTCTCTCATTCCAACTTCCATGTCCAACTTTTTCCCCATTACTATTCTTCTCCATATACTTCATGTGTTGGCCAATTCACTATTATCATGCTGCCACTTCTATGTAAAATGACATCTCTCTATTAAAATCATGCCTGTTTTCAAATCCTGTCTCAAACACTGTGGCCTTCACAAAGCTGCTAGCAATTTGTAAGTGGTTTCTCCCACAAAATGTCATCATTGCACTTGCAGGAGGCAACATTTGTATCCAGGCTCTGGAGTCAGGAAGCCCAGGTCCTGTGACTTCCTGCCATCCTGGGGATATTCCTTAATCTCACATCTCAGTTTCTCCTGCAAGGTGAAACAGTAATGCCTACCTCACAGGCTTGGTGTGAGGAGTAAATGAGGTTCTATATGTGAAGCACTTTTGAATAGTGCCTAGCACTTGGAAAGCTTAAATCAGTTTCTATATATAGGCATGAATAATCAACATTATTTTATCATAAGGACCTATATTTTACAAGGATTTCAAATCAAAAGCAGTCTGAGATACAGTAGAAGGAGACATGGGGTAGGAACCTAGACACCTGAATTCTAGTACTGGTTCCCACAACGAAACAAGCTGTGTGATGCTGAATTATGTCACTCAGCTTCTCTGACTCTTACGTTCTTCAACTGCAAAAAGAGGGGGATGAACAAAAATCACAGTTTTCTTTCATTTTAAATAGCCAAATGGACTCTAATAGCCACCTTCAACTCAAATCAACCACAATAGAACTGCTCATTTCTTCTTCTAAATGCACTCCTTCCTTATCTAAGTAAATGATACTACCATCTACCCAGTTTATGTAAAAAGCCCATGAGTTGCCTTTCAGTGATCTATTTCTGTCACCACCTAAATCTAACCATCTGTAAATCCTACTGATTCTACTTCCCACTGTTACAACCTTAGCCAATAGTCTTGTCTGTACTGTTGTCAGGGGTTCCTAATCTGTCTTTATGCCTCCACCCTTGCACTCTTTCAGCCTGCTTTCCACAGAGCCAAAGTGATATTTTAAAACCTAAACTAAATAGTATCTGTTTCCTGCTTAAAACTTCCCGGTGGCTTTTCATTATACCTAGAATGAGATCCAGATCCCTTTCCCTCCCTCTACGCTCCCACCCCCAGCCCCCCATACCACTCTCCTTATGCTTCAGCCTCTTCTTTTCCTGCTACCTCACTAAACTCACGTCTGCCTTGGGCCTTAACACTTAACTATCATTTGTGCTTGGAATATTCATCCCCAGATATCAACATGACTTGCTGTTGTCATTTAGATCTCAGCGCTAATTGTCCCTCCCTTCTGTTGGCAGTGCTCTTTCACACCACCCATTTTATTTTTTCCTAAGGCTTCAGCTCTCTGAAAATAGCTTGCTTATTTATTTCATTTCCCCCCAGTAGAAATTGAATGTCCTCATATTAAGTATCATTTCCTAGCACAATGCCTGGCACATAGTAGGTATGCTGAAGAAACTTGACTACATGAATAAATTCAAACCTGTTTTTTGAGATATCAAAGATTGTATTACCTGAGCCAAGTATTGTGGTTTTACTTTGGAAGGGGGGGAACCTTCATTTAATCCGTCATACTGAATGAACATTATTGAACATAAATGCTTGAACTGGAAATACGACTGTAAATAATGATAACAATTTCAGGTTGGTATTTTCCCTCAACTAGTTCTCAAACTTACCATTTTTCCACCTCCTCTCATAGCACCAATTTAGTGCAAATTACTACCCTCTGTGGTTTAGAGGATTTCCTCCTCTGTTCTTTTACTTGTAGGTTCTAATCTTCCAATAATCTATTCTCCAGACTGCAGCCAATATGTTTTTCAGTCGCTTGTAAACCCAAGCTTGAAAACCTTCAGTTTTCATTGTTCTCAGGATAAAGACCAGACACTGCCCTTGTCCATCACCTCACATCTCGCCAGCCCTCACTATCCACCCCAGGCCACACACTGCACCCCGCCTGCTACCTGACTGGTAGCCCTAGATTCCCGCCTTCTGGACAGTTCTACACGTACCCACTTTGCCGCTTTGCATTTTAGTTGATTGTCTCCTCCTCGGGGAAGCCCTCCCTGGTTAGGCCAAGCCTCACTCTCCATCATACGGCCCCATTTCACCGTGGGCCTCACTTTCAGAACTCTATTTATAAATATACATTCCTGATTATGGCAACCTCATTAACGTGAGCTTGCGCTCAATAGCTATTTGCGGAAGGAACCTACAGACCAGCCACTCAACCACTCCTCGCCCCTCCCTCTAGCGGAGCGGCGCAGCTATTATGCGTTAGGCAGGCGCCGCGAAGAGAGAGATCTCAGGGCGCCTGCGCAAAGGGGTACGCATGCGCAAAGAGACAACTCCGCTGACAGATTGGCGGCGGCGGCGGCCCTGACCCTGGGCTGCAGGGAATGGGAGTTCTCGGTCTCTGAGCACCGCCCCCGCCTCCCTGCCCCCGACATGGCCCAGGAGAAGATGGAGCTAGACTTGGAGCTGCCTCCGGGTACGGGTGGGAGCCCGGCGGAGGGCGGCGGCGGGGGCCTCAGGAGGTCTAACAGCGCCCCCCTGATCCACGGCCTCAGTGACACTTCGCCGGTGTTCCAGGCCGAGGCGCCGAGCGCCAGGCGGAACAGCACAACGTTCCCGAACCGCCACGGCTTGCTGCTACCGGCCTCCCCCGTCCGCATGCACAGTAGCCGATTGCACCAGATCAAACAGGAGGAGGGGATGGACTTGATCAACAGAGAGACGGTCCACGAGCGCGAGGTGCAGAACGCAATGCAGATAAGCCACTCCTGGGAAGAAAGTTTCAGCTTGAGTGACAACGATGTGGAGAAATCCGCCTCCCCGAAGCGCATCGATTTCATTCCGGTGTCACCAGCACCATCACCCACCCGGGGAATTGGGAAGCAGTGTTTTTCGCCATCCTTACAAAGTTTTGTGAGTAGCAATGGATTGCCTCCAAGCCCTATTCCAAGCCCAACGACCCGATTTACTACCCGGAGAAGCCAGAGTCCCATCAATTGCATTAGACCAAGTGTTCTCGGACCACTGAAAAGAAAATGTGAAATGGAAACTGAGTATCAGCCAAAGAGATTTTTCCAGGGCATCACCAACATGCTTTCTTCTGATGTTGCACAGCTGTCAGATCCTGGTGTGTGTGTATCTTCTGATACCCTTGATGGAAACAGCAGCAGTGCCGGATCTTCCTGTAACTCACCAGCGAAAGTCAGTACTACCACCGACTCTCCTGTGTCGCCTGCCCAAGTGGCCTCTCCGTTTATTCCAGTAGATGAACTTTCATCTAAGTGATTTCACCCACCCATCCTGAGACTCGGTATTTTTTTTTTTTTTTTGCAATGGAGAGAAATCAGTTGGAACAGGCACTGAACTTTGTCGATTAATTTGAGGCTATTTCCTATATGACCCTTTTCCTTTTTTGGAATTTCCTGAAATGTTTTGTTTTAGAGAACTTTTATGTCAGGTTTGTGCGGATGTCCTTGAATTCAGTGTAGTAATATTTTCAGACGTTTTTCCAATAAGTGTGTTGAAGCATACATCTTTATGCTGCTAATATGTCTAAATACATATGTTAACCCTTGATTTTTTTAAATAATTGAGAGCTCTATTTATTTATGGGATTATTAAGTTCTGATGCAGATACAAATGTTGAATTTATCAGCATAGTAAACTGGTGTTTTAAAATTCCATACTTCATACCCACACTAATTTTTAGTTATTTTCAGTGATTCCTAATTTTATTTGATGAAGAACAATGACTTGCCTATTTACAGCTATTTTTTAAAATGTTAGTTATATCAATCCAGTGGTTGTATGTTTTACCCAGGAATCCTTGGATATTTAAATTTCTGGGTACAGAAGTGGATGGGAGGGGGAATGACAGAACAAAATATAAATGTTTGCAACAAATCTTTTAAAATTAAATATATAGAAGTAAACATTTAAGAAAAACATTTTTAATGAAATTGTAATAGTTCTAATAGTTGTACTTACACTCTAATAAGTATATAGCTACTATACAGAAAATTTAAAAAAGAAAAAATTTTTTAACCAGAAAGTGCATTCTCTTGGGTATAATCCTAAAGTGAAATGGGACAGTGCCTTGCAGTCTTAGCCCACTATACATAGGCTGAGGCCAGGTTCTTTGTACCACTGCAAACTTAAAAGTTTTTCAAATGTAGAAAATGTGTGGGAAGCCTTGTTGAACTTCGGCAGAACACCAGGCAGATAAAACTCTCTCAGTCATTGATATGCTTTAAAATCCATTCGTGCCTCAGTGAGAATCCTTGCCAATGAGGAGCCAGAGCAGCTTTTGGCTGCTTTTCTGCTGTGCTCATCTGTCACCTTCCTGGTTTTCCCTGGCTCAGGAAGGAAGTAACTGTTTCCTTGCCAACAGGTCCTTCCTCTCCACCTCCCACCAAACTAGGGCATCATCAGTTAAACAAAGGTACAGTGTGACTTGGATTTCTGACAGCAAGCAGCAACAGGACTGTGTAATTATTTCAGGAACCTCTGTGGTTAAAGCTATAGCTGGAGTTGACTGCCTTGGGGATGTCAACTAATTAAGGGTCAATGACTTGCAAGAGAAAATCAGTGGAGAGTCACATAGGTAAATCATTATTTAACTTTGATTTTGTTAAAGGTAGAATTGTAAAATGTTCTTTGCCTTTTACAACTAAGACAAAATACGAAAATATTTAATAACTGTTTTTTTATATTATGCTTCCTTATTATGCCTCTTACATCTTCCTTTACTAAGTAGATTGATAGCTATGGATAGACAGAAGAATGGCAGACAAAAGGGGAAGGGGAAAAATACAAAAGACTGAAATCAAGACCAAGACAAAAGCTCCGGCCTACTTTTTTAAGTTTTTGCCTACAGAGACTTTAACCTTATGTGGAATTTTGATAACTATGAGAATAAATGGAACTGGTCAACTTTAACAGTTGCCTCAAGAATTCAGTGAAATTATATCAAGGGTAAAATTGTGTCCATAGGCTTAAAATTCTCTATTCTGAGCAATAGTGTTCGTGTACTCCAGTTCTTTCCTTATTCCTCAAATTCAAACCTGTATATGCAACTTACTGCTTCCAGAGGTACTTCACCTCAGTATCTCCAAAACATAATTAATTATCTTCTCATCGAACCTGTTCCTGAATTACCTAAATTGATGTCATCACTATCTAATTTTCTCAACCAGAAACCAGGGGAAGCATCTTTGATTTTCCCCTTTCCCTATCTGTCACATCCAACTTAATCACTAAGTCCTGTCTACTTCTGAAAAGAATCTCAAATCTGTGTCTCTGTTGACCCTGAGTTATCCAGCCTAAGTGATCTCCCAGTCTATTTTCTTCCCCTCCTTTTGGCCCAGTCTTCATATTGCCTTTAATGTGATCTTTCTAAAATGTAAACTTCATTGTTTTCACCCTTCTGCGTAAGAACTTTATGTGCTTTCCCCATTTTTTTACAATACAGGGAATACTTTCTTTAGCTTAATGTATAATAAAGTCCTTCATGAACTGGCCATACTCTAAAACTGTGTTAATCCTCTGCTCATTCTATCTTAATAGACATTCTTCCTCCTCTGCAAATGCTAGGCTACTTGATACTCTTTAAATATGCCATGTACTGTCTTGTGTTTGTATGTTTGAGTAGATTGTTCCTTCTTCCTAAAATGCCATTCCTATCCTTTTCATCCAAGCAAATGCTTTTTTTATTGCATGTAAATTTAACTATGAAATAATGTATACGTGCTGGTTATAAAAATATTCAAATAATGCAGATATCTATACAGTGAAAAGTGAAAGTCTGCCTTTTACTATGTAAAATTCATTCTCATGGGTAATATCTGTTACTAATTTGGTATATATTGTAACAAGATGTTTTACTTTGCATTCCCATGTATATATGTATATAAATTCAGGAAACCAATGTGTCATTGACATCTCTCTTCCTTTCTTTCCCCTGTAGCTAATCATTCACCCAGTCTTACTGATTTTATCTTCCAGAATCTATCTACTCATTTTCATCTCTACTGCCACCCTGATCCAGCTGCCATCATTTCCCTCTTAGGCTTCTGAAGTAGCCTCCTAATTCCCAGTTGTGCCCATCACACTGTGGTCGGCTACCCATTTATTCTCCATACAACAGAGTAATCCTTTTAAAATTGAAAATCTGATCCTTCCCTCTCCCAGCTTATAGCTTTTCATTTGCTTCTGTTCTTATGGTATACCAAAATATATTATTCCTGTCCTAGGAAGCCCTATGGGATCTGGCCCTTGTCTCTCCCTCCCCGACTCCCTTGTTTTCTGTGCCTCACCCTCACTGGCTTGCTTGCTTCTTGTTAAATACAGCACATTCTCTCCTATTTTAGGTCCCTTTGCCAGATCCTTTTCCGAGAAGACTAGTGAAATCTTTGCTTCTGTGAGCTTATTTTTCTATATGGGTGGTAACTTTTAAATCCCGTGAGGCTCCAAGAGTTTTTATAGACAATTTACATTATCATATTGTTCATAAGTCGATTGTACAGTAGAATGTAAGGACTAAGCTCATGTAAGAATTATCTCTCAAAAGACAAAATTTAAAGATATTAGTATTACTAATACTATATTACTAGTCTATAAAGTTTGTGCTGGAAGTCCCAAAGCACATACCAACATTTAAAGTACCATTTGTCGTATATGACAAACCTCTGCAGTATATTTTCCTTTTAATGTTTGTTAAAAACACAGTGTAAGTTGAAAAACAATGATCGCAAAACTTGTGGCTGCTGGATGTCAGAACTTGTAAGCATACTTTAAAAAGTGATTATAATCAAGAGTAACCTGTATCAAGTTAAGCTTCTAGTGGTTCACATTTATTAGCTCAGGCCAGTTACATACCCATCAAAGTAGGACTCAGAGGAAAATAGGATTGAGAATATTTTATCCTATAGACATATTTATGGATAAGTAGGAAAAGTCTGAAGATCCAAGAGAGGTGGGAGATAAGAACAGTTGCAAGAACAAACCAAAGAAGATGCTGTAACCTACATTTCCTGAGTGGCATCCAAGAATAAAAGGAGTCGGCACTGGGGAGAGGAGGTCAGGAAGCTTTTCTTTTTTTCCCTTTGAAACAGGAAGGACAGTGAAAAGGCTAAGAAAATGTTGAATCGGTTTCCTATATCAGGAGTTTAGGGGTGTGGAGGAAGGAATATGAAAAGTAGAAAGATCTGTACCTGATTGCTTCTATTCCCCAATTATTGAGAAGGCTAGGAAAATTGAAGGCAGGGCAGAAGTCAGTTTGGAGGCTTGAGTGAAATAAAGATTTAACATTGCCTCAATGGAAATCTGTAAAGGTGTGATTTTGAGAGTGAGTTAGGTTTATTAGGCCACAATGGATGCCAGGTTTCAGTAGGATGGCAGGTGCGAAAGAACTGGATTGGATTGACCTAGGTTTAGGAATTGGTTACGTTGATAGTAGGTAAAGTCCAGTGTGCGAAGTAATTAAGGACTGTGCAGAAAATGTAGTTGAATGATTGGCCAAGGCCTTGAGGCTGGTAAGAGAAGTCAGCAGTGGATGATGGGCCAGGCCACATTTTTCAAGGTCTTCCAGTCAGCCATGACAAAGTATACAGAGAATGTGATTTCACTGAAACTCTTGCTTTAGCAGTTTTGCCCATATTTTTCATGGCTAATTTTGTTAAATCAGCACTCTACTTAGTTGATTAAAAAAATTTTTTGAGTCAGTGAGCAGCTGTAGCCAAGACAGTTCTTTATGGCTTCCCTAACTTGCCATCCAAGCAAAACATTTTCTTAAGAGATGAAATGACCCTTCTATTAAAACTTACGTATATAAAGTACTTGCTATGTATCTGGCATTGTTCTAGGTACTAAATAAATGTGTCATTTCATTTCATCTTTATCACTACCATCTGAGATAAGTGCTATTATTATCCCCATTTTATAAATGAATAAATGGAGGCACAAAGAGGTTAAATAACTTGCTCAGGATTCTTAAACTGGAACATAGCATTATTGTAGTGGTTAAGAACTCAGACTGTGTGTGGAACCAGGTGGCTGTGGCAAGGATTAAGCAGGTCAGTATATGTGAAGTCCTTACAGCAATACTGGACAGTTTCATTAGAGGTGTCGGCTGTCATTATCATTGGACTGCGAGTGGTGGTTGTCATTGTTGATCACCATGGACTTGCTAAGGCATCTCATCCTTGACTGATGAAACCCTTACTTTCACACTCAGTATACTCTACCCTTCAAGGCAGCCTGTCCTTTTGGTTGAGTGCTGAGGTGAGCTCGATTGTTTTCCATGTTGGAGAGTCTTACACTGAGCAGACATTTCCCCCTATAACTTCCACCATTGAATTCAAGTGCAGCTCTGAAAATGCAGAACAAGCCTTATCTTTCTGTTTTAGGTGATTGCCCTAATAAGTTTCTCATCATTTTACAGGTCAGCAACTGATCACTCTGTAATTACCACTCTCTGGTTCTGGATCTAAGAAATCTTGAGCAGTCTTTTCAGTGCTCTCTCTGTGAAATAGGCTGTCATTGCTTGGCAGCCAAGATTTTCACAGGATTTTGATGCCTTCAAGACCGTTTGCCTTCCCCAGTGGGAAAACAAGAGATGGCCTAATAACACAAGCCATTGCCAATGCTAATAATAATTAGCACTAATATTCATTGAGAACTCAATATGGGGCTAGATACAATTGTCAGTGCTTTGTGTGTATGAGTTTATTTAATCCTCATTACAGCCTGCGGAGGTAGGTGCTATCATTATTCCCATTTACCAGGTAAGAAAACCAATTGCATTTTCTCAAATCTCTATTGCTTTCTAGTTCTTTTCCCTTTTAAATTTAGGGCCTTTAAGTTTTTCCTTTATGAACAACAGACTTTTTTCCTTATTTGAGAAAAAGTCTATTTTTAGCTAGTGCTGCCACTTATATTTTGAATCAAATATACTTATTAAAAATGATGGCTTTAGGCATTATTTTAGAGGAAGCTGTCAGGAGGATTGTTTCCTTTAGTAATAGGTTAAAAAAATTAAATTGGTATAGAAGGAAATTATGGTGTACATATCTCTTAACTGATTTGCTGTTTTAAATAAGAAATCCCCAAACCACACATTTTAGATTATTTATTGTTTTCTCTTTAAAAAATATATATGCTTTGTTATATTTGAATTATACAGTATTCTTGGTTGTCCTTAGATTATCTTTCCTAGGGAAACAAAACCAAGATCATTTTGACCCTGCCCATCCCACAAAAGAAAAAAACAATGAAGTTAAAAATGTATCAAAAAGAAGTGTCTTGGGAAAAAAAGAAAAGATCCAAAATCTTTTATTACTTAAATAACAACAAGCCTTCCTTCTTTCTCTGTAAGAAACTCTCCCCAGGGAGTAGAGATTTAAATTCAGAACAATCGAGCAATTCCTGAGATACTTCATTATATATAATTTTTTTAACTTGATAGAAAAAATCACTTCACTGTTGAGTGAAGGTATCCAGAAAGAAAAACTTTCTTTTGAAGACATTTTAAAATTGGTGCTTAGCCTCCAAATTTCACAGTGTCATGTCCGTATGTTAGACATTTTGAAACAAACCATTGAAAACCACAATTTGTTCCAACTGGTCAACACCATTTTTAGAAATTCAATAAATATTTAAAAATCACAAGTGACCTTTAATTTCTATATGTGGCTTGTTTGTGAAAGTAATTTTATAATAGTGTTTGGCCAGATAATATCAATTATTTGAGTCCTGTGTGTGTAGAACCGGATGTATGTATACATTCCATGCACACACACACATACCTGATCTTTATAAGCCTTGCTCTGTGTGCTTGGAAGCATATTTAGCTTTCTTCCCAGGGTAGATTTCCTCTCATTTTCACCACCTTGATTTTCTTAGGTAGGTTGGACTTTGTAGATCACAGCTCCCCCCACCCCCGTCATATATAGATACCATTGGTGCAAATGTTTTATGCTTTGATTTTTCATCCCCTTTCCAAATTCCAAGTTCTATCCTAAAAGAGAAATAGGTATTGTTCTCATACCTAAGCTCTCTTTGTGCCTGATACCTATTTCTCCTTTTTGAACTTCTGGAATAAATACTTTGGGAGATGTGAAAATCACTCATTAAATTCTAAGGCAGTGTGACTGAAACTAGGAAACAAATAACCTATTGCTTTTATTTATCCGCAAAAGTTCAGTTTTGTATCAATGCCAAGGATAGTTCTGGTACTTTTCCAACTGCCTACAGTGATCTTCCAAACCAAACTCACATCTAGTGCTTGGTTACCAAGTCGTGTTGTGAAAGAAGACAATTGAGAAAGATTTTCTGTGTCCTCAGAAAGTAAAATGCTTGGTTGAGGTAACCATTCCTGTGATTCAGGCAATCCCTCCCCGTTGCTTTAACGACAAAGAACTGTTCTACTGTTGCACTGCCAGGAGGATCACCGGAACTCCAGAGTGACAAGTAGCTATTGAGTGTTGGTATCTTTTGGAAAGAAAAACTATGAGCTATTCGGGAGGGAATGGGAGTGGGGAGGCCATGGTTGTTGGATCAGGTATTTTTCTAGAGGTGAGCCCTTTCTTCAACTATCAGTGTGAACTCCCTGTTGAGTAAAGAGTAACATTGATGGTTTTCTTTGTGAAGATTTGTTTACTCTTTATTGCACTTCATTTGGGATTTGGAGTTGAATCAGGATGTATAAGAATTTCTTCAAGAAGCTTTCCTTTTCTCTTTGAATCTTACGAAAATATAGCAAATAATAATAATGATGATAATCATCAGATTGCTTTGAGTCAAGTGTTAACAATTCTTGGAGCTCTTTATCTTACTGATTTATCCTAGGTTTCTAACTCTGAATTAACATTCCATACTTATTTAGTCTTTCTCAAGGCCCCTTTTTACCACTCTACATGCTACCAGATA